ATTATTTTGCGTGAATTTTAATCGTGACTTCTACTTTCTACAATCTTTACCCTACTCACAAACATTCAAATATAATCGACTATCGCCCATTAGACATTCGAAGGACAGATACTTCAGCCCATTGGGAAGTGACGGGTGAGTGAGCCAATCTGCAACACCAGGACAGTTACTGTGAGCCCATTGGCAATACGTCGCGCACCAAGCAGAAGTCATGTGTTAAAATTTGCGCACCTAATCGTAAGGCCTCGGTAGCTCAGTGGTAGAGTAGCGGACCGAAAATTCATGGATCGGGGTTCGATTCCCCGTTATGGCACATTATTTTGCGTTAATTTTAATCGTGACTTCTACCTTCTACATTTTATATTTGTAAGATATTTTATGTTATGTTACCCAGTCATATGGTGAATATACAGCTCACTACACAGCCTCCCTTCTAAAACGGAAACCGTGGGTGAGCCTTCGATCTACGTGAGGACTGTCCTCCACAAGCAAGCCTTTGGCTAGACCAGGCAGTGAAATCTAATTTAACTGCTGGGGTATTACCAGGCGTACGAGACCTAGCGGGCTCCCACCCGTATCCTCTCTGAAGGTGCCAAAAGCACTAAGTGGGGGAAAGTGCGGAAGCGTCAAATATCTGCAACATCGTGAAGGTCAAATATTCGCTTCAGACTCGTACTCTTCTCCGGTTCATACTTGAAAGATAAACGGAAACAAGGGCAGTGACATTGGAAGCGAGGGCAAAAGTAAGTGACACTTATGGGATGGGGTATTCTTCAAGCGAAATGTAACTCTTTTTATGTGTTTTGACACTGTTTTCTTCTTTTTGAGTTTTCAAAACGTTTTGCGTTCTTTTGGGTTCTCAAACCTTTTTGTCGGCTTTTTGGTGTTGTCAAAAGCTTTGCCGAATTTTTTGGTTTTTCGTACGTCGTTGCCCAGAAGGAAAATATGCAAGAAAAGAAAGTGAAAGATACTCTAATCCCTAAATCGCGCTGGCCAACGAAGTTGCCTAACCATCCTAGTCAACTTGTGCGGATCAGAGGTAGGCGTCGTCTTAGACATCCTATGGGATGGCGAACTTGGAGGAACTGCTTAAAACATGGCGGTTGGTTCAATGGGAAGCAGCAGAGCTGAAGTGAAAGGCTTAGATGGAGCGTGATGCTTAATGTTAGGGATGTTGGAAACAGGCGAGTCTTCCATCATCGGCTGGGATGATTCGTCTGAAGACGAGCAAGGGTTGTCAGCGAGCTCAGGTTCCACGTGGGCAACCTTGAGACTGTCAATCATAACGGATTCTCGTTTACCATGACGGTCGATGATAAAGACACGGTCCTTACTCTACAGAACCTTGAAATGACCTTCGTAAGGTTGCGCCAATGATCTGCGGTGACCATCGAGGCGGAAAAATACGAAAGGGCAAAGTTGTAGGTCTTGTGGAACAAAAGATTTACGTCGTTGTTCTTTAACGTCGGGAAGCTTGTAGTGACATATGCTCGTGACGCGCTGAGGTGCATAATTCGCGTTGTATCGAGGAATTCTGGGACTATCGGAAAAGGGTGCGCCAGCCAAAGCAGCATTTGTCCATATACTAACTCCGTGCTAGACGTAGCAGATCAGCCTTTAGGGCTGATCGGATCCCAAGAAGGATCATAGGCAGTAAGTCTAACTCAGCGCGTTGGCAGCTCTATGTGTGTCTTTCAGCTGTCGGTGGAAACACTGCATCATGCCGATCGCCTGCGGATGATAGGCGGTCGCGCGAATGCCTCGGCATACAATGAGTTCAAGAAGATCGTCAAAGGTGGAAGACGTGAATTGCGGACCGCAGTCTGTCATCGCTATGAGTGGACAGCTGTGTGACGCGACCCAGCGCTCGACGAAAGCGCGCGTTACGGTTTCCGCAGCTACCTCAATGATGGGAACGGCTTCGGGCCAACTGCTGCATTGCTCGATTATGGTCAAAGTGTAGACCATTCCTTTGGACGGGGCCAGAGGTTTTACTATGTCGTGTAGGATCATCTTCAAAGTAGTATCATGGAGTTCCAAAAGCTTTGATTGTTTGATTGCGCGGCGGCCATGGCAGATAATTCGATTGCGTTTCGGAAGGACCGATCGCAGATACGCTTGAAGGTGCGTCAGTGACGACATTATGTTGACCAGAAATGTGTCCCATATCAGTCGAGAATTAGGTAATGAAATCTAGCTGACGAATCTAACTTGGTGAGTGTCGAGCTGGTTGCTTTCGGAATGTGTATATAAGCGGCTTGTGATCGGTGAAGAGATTGAACGTGTTACCTTCAAGGGCATGTCGGAAATGTCGAACCGTAGTGTAAACGACCAGTAGCTCGCCGCTGAACGTGCTTTATTTGACTTTGGCAGGTTATTTGCTTCTTGAGTAGAAAGCAAGAGGCTTCCAGCATCCATTTGTATGTTGCTGTAGAGTGGCGCCAATGACGGTGTCCGATGCGTCAACAGCAACACTAAGCGGAGCGTTCGGCGCGAAACGATGAAGCATAACGGCTTCGACTTGCTTCTTTGCTGGCGTTGAACGCTTCGGCAGCGCCAGCAGCAGTCAGTTCCACCTGACCATTTTAACGTCTACCAAGTAGGTCGGTTAGTGGAGTTAGCAAATTGGCACAGCGTGGAAGAAAACGTCAATAATAGTTGAGCACGCCATGAAAACGGCGAATAGCAACTAACATAGTCGGGACTGGAAGGTCTCTGATGGTGCGGGCTCTATCGTCTAGAGGATGTATGCCATACTGATCAATATGGTGGCCAAGCAATTCGACGGAAGGCTGCTGAAATACGCATTTGTATGGGTTGACAGTGATGCTATTAGCGGCCAGCCTATTGAAAAAAATCTTGAGATGTTCTGCTTGTTGTTCTTTAGAAGCGCTGGCAACTAGGATATTGTCGATGTATGGATAGACGAACTCTAGACCTCTAGTGACTGAAGCGATAAACCGTTAAAAATTCTTGGCTGCGTTGCGAAGACCGAATAGCATACGCATAAATTCGGAAAGCTCAAACGAAGTGATTACGGCCGTCTTCGGTATGTCTTCATCAGCGACTGGAATCTAGTGATACACGCGAACCAGATCGATATTCGAAAACACCCGGGTGCCGCGCAAGCTTGCTGTAATGTCCTTAATGTGAGGAATAGGATAGCCGTCGGGAACACTAAAGTTATTGAGCGCACGGTACTCACCACATGGACGCCAGTCTCCTGAATTTTTGGGCACCATGTGGAGCGGCGACGCCCATGGGCTTTTAGATGGGCGAATGATGCCTAGTTCAAGCATGTGCAGGAATTCTGCGCGAGCAATTTTAGCTTGTCAAGGGTCATTTGCCTGGCTTTAACGAAAACATGAGTAGTTAGATAACGATGTGATGTTTTGCAGCATCAGTAGCGGATAGAAACAGTGCCACTGCACCAACTACCAGCAGGAATTTGGTATTAGGCATCTGACCGATAACTGAGCTCGATTGGTTAGCGTATACAGGACCGTTTGACTTAATGTCCGTCAAAGTACCTATAACTGCCAGCTTTGTTTGACGATCGCTCAGATGGCGTTGCTTCGCGCCAACAAGCAAATCGAAGTACTGTAGAAAGTCCAGGCCAGGGATTGGCGTCTGGACATCTGCGACGAGAACGAGCCATTTAAACAACGTCCGGTTTAAATAAAGCGTGCGCGAGCGTAGTCCGTACACGCTAATCCTGGTGCCGTTTGCTGCGCGCAATGAACTAGTCGCCTCTGCACTAACATCATTGGAATCCCATGGGAGAACGCTGACTTCTGCGCCGGTGTCAACGAGATAGTGTACTCCTGTACTGCCATCGGTGACGAGTAAAAGGCGACAGTGGCAGCCAGCAACCTCCCTCGCCCCTACGTGCTGACCGGCCCGTTTCCCTGCATCTTGCGCTTGAAGGAACAAGACGGGCCACACCATCTGGCCTGGTGACCAAATCGCTCGTGGTATCAACAATAGCTTGACCTAGGGGGAGGTTTCGAACGTGACCTAGGATGAGTGTGACTAATGGAACGATTTCGGCCGTTGGATCCGGACTGTAGTAGGTTCTCTAGTCAGTTGATAAGTGCCGCTACTTGCGCCATTAGTGCTGCTACCCCCGTACTGGAAGTAGATTAAACCTGAGATACTTGGGCTTTGGATTCCCTAATATGGTCGACAATATCGGTGAGATGAGAAACAGGCGCATCATTAGCATACAGTGGGTTACGTATTTCACCCCTTTATTTTTTAGTTCAATCGCAAATATCGCAAATAAAACCTCTGGGCTGTGTTCCATTACACCTGGAACTGCTAAAGTCGGCATGTTTGCGCTGAGAAAGGACTCAGGTGCCACTTTCGAAATGTGAATCGAAAAGATCAATGATGAAAAAAACACGATGAAACTACATAAGAAACAAATCAACACATTTATATACTTGAGAAACAGGGACAAAGTCACCAAAAGGTACAAATGACGAAAAAATTAAACTTGCGCATGCGAATCGGGATCACTATTTTGTAGGACTAGTAAATAGTAGTCCGAGACGGTGCTAGCAATTAAGCGCAGATGCCAGAAGGCGTCGGATACAGAGGACTGTATGCGATGGGCTACAAGAAGACACTGACAGATGAAGTTAGACAAGAGCAACACGTTAGCACGGAAACTTACAAGACGGTCGAGTGTCGCGCTGGATATAGGTTATCATTGACGTAATGTAAGGCAGATAAAAACAAGAAAGCATAGTGCACAGTTGGCCAACAGCGAACTTGTACATAACAGATAATAGCTTTTGATGCGCTGCAAGTTCATGATATAAAGCGCAAGACCGTCGCGCTATGATTGCTGACACTTATAATTGCTGAGTCTTTTACTAGCTTCTATGTTCAGCTTCGTCTATGTTTCTTGTGTAGTTTTCTTATTTTCTATACTTTTAATTTCGGATTTAGATTCTGCTGACTCAGTTGTTTTTGCCATACATGTTATAAATTCTGATTCTGACGCCCAGATTAGGACCATTAGTCTCTTTACCCTACATTTCCGCGGGACTGTTCCTAACGCCTGATTCGTCAGCTACCATCACGTTTCCTTTTACCTCGTATTAAGTCCGATTCGACTGTTTCACCATGTTGTAACCGCGATCTCTTCGCCTGTTATCGACGACCATCATAACATTCTAGAGCTGCCTGACGATCAGCAAACTTGTAGTGATCTGGAGATTTCCCTGTATGCTTGTGTACAGTATTCCAAAATATATAGACCACGTTTCCCACATATCTTGCTTTGCCCGACGCGTAATAAATTTCTGGAACTAGTTGCCCAGTCCTATTGTTGTTGCAGAATCTGTGCAACATTTCAATCAAAACTTTGATGCTCATTTTGCAGACCTGTGTTTTAATGTAGAGACCATTTTTGACCTTTTCTCGTCGCGTGCATTTGTGACAACTACCTTAGCAGCTTTGATACACCGAAACCTTTGGAATAGTGCCGTGTTTGTGGCTTGTAACAGTCTTACTGCGTTAGTAAGAAACCAATCCTGGGAAGTTACACATAGCGAAATTCTTCATTGGTCGTTTTGTTTTTACTTATGATGGAGAGGACACAGCTTAGAACCTTTTCCTTTTTATACAGTGATTCTGATTCTGATCATAGGTTTTCTTAGGTATCAGGGAATTAAGCGCTTTGCTTGTCGGCGCTTCGTTCCCGTTTGTTTGTAACACACAATTTCTACTTTTGAAGCGCGCGACACGGATTACAACGAAGCCCTGTCCACGCACTCGACGCTAACTATATCTTCCCTAGCTAGGTCTTCTCTACTACCCTCTTTTAGCCTTAGCTAGCTCTGTAAATAGTGTCCGCAATCAGCTCTGCCGAGCAGGCCATTAATCGCTTCGCCATGGCAGCTGCACAATTAGCCGAGCAGATTTCTGCAAAACTCTGTGAGTCTTCCCTGAAGATATCCCCACACCCTCTACCATCAACCGATAGGACCATCATATGACACTTCTACAGGGCGACACCGCCCCCTTGTCACTGGAACCTTTCACCGTCTTATTTTTGATAAGCTTCATAACATTGCCAATTCAAGCATTAGAGCCACTGTCAAGCTCATCAGCGATAGATATGTTTGGCCCGAGATGCAAAGTGATCTTACGCGATGGGCATTTACGTGTCACACGTGCCAGCAAGCCAAGATACAGCGGCACGTCTCCGCATTGTTTGGTCGCTTCCCACCCTTTCAACGCGGTTTGCCTATGTCCATCTTTATCTAGACGGACCCATAGCACCGTTCAAAGAAATAGTTCATATTTTGACTAGGACTGACCGTAGTACACGTTGCCCTGAAGCCGTTTCTATTCCTGACTGTTACCATTGCGTAGATACCTGATAAGATTGTCACTGGCACGGTTGGAGAACGCCTACGGTAACGGCTTGGAACGTTAACCACTTGAAGGGATTTGCGTTGACCTGATGGCGTTAGCTTAACCCGGGGTACGCCCTGGTGAGTCAGAAATTGAGCGAGCTTGAGAACGGTCCTAGCCGCACATATTCGTGTAGACGCCGTGCCCTCGTAACGGAAACACACGAGAAAGGTTACGGTAGACACGCACTAGTGACTTAGACATGAACGCTGCCCGGCTAATGACGCACACAAAAGCACATGACCGACCGACTCCCAACTAAGATGAAGAGGAAGCAAGACAGGTAGTCCTCTGAAGGCTCTTCTACGACCAACAACGAGCGAATCACAGCCAATGCTGTGGGTCATTAAGTTAGGGAAAATTGCTAACACGACGGGGTGGTAGTTTGCAAAAGAACATTGTCAATAGGTGCGCAGTTGGGCCGCGTCTCTGAGTGGCTAAACACTGCTACGTTGTGGGGAGGAATTGGACTCCGCTTTCCGCAGCCACTATGCCCTAGTTGCTGGCGCGTTTTTGCGGGGATATTTGACGGGCCCGCAACACCTTCCTTTGAAGAGAAAGCGTACCGCCTCTGACGAGGATTGACTTGGAGGGATTTCGGCGACCTCCAAATTCTTCCTGTTCGTCGGCAAGGCGGGTTCTCCAGACGCGGCGGCGATTGCGCGGCTTCTATCCTGGTCGCTCGCTGTGTAGCCAATCCAAAGGTATCCAACAGATGTGCAGCGGCAGGCGCACAGGAAGGCTGGCGGGCGTGGAGATTTCTCCGTGGCGCGGTCGAAGTTGATTGCGATGGCAAACCCAGGTGTGCTCACCCGCAACACTGACATATCTGCGGAAACCGTAATGCGTGCCTTCAATGAGCGCTGGGTCGCTTCGCATAGCTGTCCAGCTGCAGTGACTACCTACAGCGGTATGCAATTTAAATGTTCGAATTTTAAAGATCTTAAATTCTTTGGATGTCAACACGTTTGTACTACCGCCTATTATCCACAGTGATACGGCATAGTGGAACATTTTCACTGCTCTCTGAAAGCTGCACTTAGGTTCACCAATGCACTGAATTGGCATCCGATCATTCCTCAAGGCCGATCTGCATACGTTTAGCGCTGAATTCGTATATGGACAACCTTTAAGTTTACCTGTTGGCTTTTTCTCTGCGAGTTTCAGTATCTCCCATTATGACGCAAACTGCACTTGGCAGCTATACACGAGCAGGCGTCACATAAAGTTTACCGACACTGGAGAACAACAGCGTAACTCATTCGTACCCCAAGATCTTTGGCACTATCCGTTCGTTTTCCTCCGTCTTGCTAGTCTCCGTGACTACTTGAGCGACCTTAGGAAGGTTAGTTCATGGTTCTTCAATGTAAGGACCGTGTCTTTATCGTCGACCGACACAGCAAGCGTGGTGTCGTTACGATTGATCGTCTCAAGGTTGCGCACATAGAATCTGAGCTCGACGACGATTTCTGCAGCCTATGACGGAAGATAGGCCTGCGCCAAACGCTACTGACTCCAAGGAGAACTCCCCATCTAAGTCTTCCACCTAAACTCCAGCGATTTACATCTAGCCGAGCGGCAAATCATCAGCCACTCTCCTAGCTGCGCAATCCGACATAGCACCTAAGTTGACAACATCGTCAGCCGAACTGCAGAAGTCGATTAGATCGGGTGGGCGAGTTCAGTGGCCAGCTCCGTTTGAAAGAGTATATTTCCTTCTACTTCTCTTTTCACGCTTTATTATCTTTCTGGCCAACCCATTAAGAAAAGCATAAAACGGCAAAGACTTTTAAAAACAAAAGAGATGAAAGTATTGAAAAACCAAAAAAGCAAAGGAAATGTTTTGAAAACCCAGCACTTTTTTCAGTGCTCCGCCGTCTGGTAAGTGCCCTTTGCTTTGTTGCCTTCCCCAGATTTTCACGGTGCTCGTTTTTGTTTTTCTTTTCTGTACAATTTGTTGAGGATGAGGTGAAAGCAAACATTTGACTTGCACGAACTTGTGAACATTTGCCACTCAAGAATTTCCCTCCATTTCGTGTTTTTGGCACCGTTAGGGAGGACACGGGTGGGAGCCTGCTAGGGACCGATCACGCTAGTGCTCTCGCAGCATCTTTATCAGGTCTCACCACTTGGTGTGCAGAAGGTTGGCTGCCGACGGACAGTTCTCACGTAGATCGAAAGATCACCCACAGTCATCCCTCTAGGAGGGGGCTGTGTAGTGATCTGGAGATGCCGCCGCTTGTTGTTTACATCAAACTAAGATATTATGAAATTATATTTTGTTTATGTATTAGAGAACTAGGTGGTTTGCATGTTCGAATGGTGCACGTTTTGTTTGAGACATGCACTGACAACAGCCTGACTTTGGCCGCGAACTTTAAAAGCTGCTAATTGCACTCAGCACCATATGACATACACCCTAGCTAGATATCTTTCGGTGCCTTATTTTTAGCCTTAGGACTTATCAGCCTTCCAGTAATCATTTTCCAACTTATTGCGGCGTGTTGTTCCGCACGCATTTGGTTGGCCATTCAGATCGGAGTTCTTGTTATATAGCGCACGACCGTTGAGCTTCACACTCACCAGCACTGAAGATGCTGAAAATATAGGCGCTTGATTTTGCTATTTTATCCAATTGATTCGTTCATCTATGCAGACACGACAGCCCTGTCTGAACAGAAGGACCGCCAGCCATCCGCTTTGGGCGTGTTCAAGTGCAAGTTCAATTTGGACAGTAACGGTGGGAGATTCCCATGAGTGTTACGTCTTTAATGCGTTGTTTAAACAGGATAGAGCTCGCTGGATCGATCTGCAACGAGGAGAGCCAAATCAATGCGTACGATTCACATCACGAGCAAACAATTAAGACCCACGCAACCTACACTAGCAGTGCCTGCTGTACAGATGTGATGATGATGTTTTAGCAGTACGCCGTAACGATGTTTCGCTGCCGCGCGACCACAACCAGTCGCGCCCTGGCTGAGTATACAGCGAGGACGCTCACCCCTACGCGGATTCGAACGGGTGACCTTATGGTTGCAAACCAAACGTGTAGACCACTCGGCCACCGGCCGACCCTGCTGTACAGGAGAGAATGTGAAGCCAAGGCAATAGTAGGAAATGGATGTGGAAATTAAGAACCAAACGGAAATGTCTTAAACTGCAACCAAAGGGAGTCCACTCGATGTACAAACTCCTTCACTGTTGGTGCTAATGCCACTTCGCAAGGTAGTGCGTTCCATGAGTCGACGACCCTGCTTGATAAACGAAATCAGCTCCAATGCGACCGGATCTGGGCTGATGCAGCTTCAGAGGTTGACCACAAAAAGATGGCATCTGAGCCAGATGGAACAGTCCAGCTAAGTTAGATCCAGTCTTGCCGGTCAAAATACGTTACTTAAGAATCAGTTCTCTCTAAAGGCGCCTATAGTGCAACGAAAACATCTGTAACCTATGCAACCTATCAGGATACGAGAGGTGCTTCAATCCATGCACTATTTTCGTGCCAATCCTCAGAAGTCGTTCGACTACTATCTTGCCGCGGACCAAGCATGGAGAACAGACCTGCACGCAGTACTCCAAGTATGGCCTGATTAAAGCTGAGAACAACATAACAAACATTTCATTTGTTATGATGCCGAACGACCTGTAAATCATCCACAGTATTCGGAAACCCCTGCGGATAGCAGTCATCTAGTTAACGTTAGATTAGAAGTCAGAGGATAGCGAGGTACCCAACTCGATGTGTTCGGTCAATTGATGTACTACATTTCCGCCAAGAACGTAATGAGCTGTGGGAATGCTTGGTCTTATGCGCAGAAACGAACACTTCGCAAGGTTTATTGGCAGCTGACACAAATTTGAACACTCCTAAAGCTTGTCAAGTACTGTCTGCAAAGCCGCTGGACCATCGGAATCGCTCACCGGATGCCAAAATTGCAAGTCATCCGCACACCTAAGGGATGGTACCTTAAGCTTCTCAGGGAGGTTGTTAACATACAACGCAAACGGTAGAGATCCGAGAACCCACCTCTGAGGAACACCACACAAGACGATTTGTGTGAAAGACGCCCGGAACCCACTCGAACTCTCATCTGGCAGACAAAAATATATATGAAAATAAATGCCGTGATATCTCCACATTTGGAAACTGGCTGCGAAGAACCTTACTTACTTACATCAAAATCCCCTACTCATAAGTATATCTCCGCATAAGTTGGTAAATAAGAGTATACATCTTTAGCACCGATGTTCTTTGCCCAAAAACTATTTTTTATTAAAATCGTTCTTTCAGTCAGCGCGAGTGACTGTTTTAGTTCCTTGTTTGATCACTTTTGTTCTCCTGAGCGTTTTAACTCGACACTTTTTGTATGACTTTTGGTTACTCAAAAACATTTTAGGTTTAGCCTAACGGCTATAGTATTATCCAATTTAAAGTTAGGAATCTATTTCTGCTTAACTTTGACGGTATTTGCGACCGGGAAAAATGCGTTCATGGCGGATTGTAAAGATATAGGATGTCGGTCAGGCGCTATATACTAAGTATCCAGATGAAACGGCCAACCAAAATTGTGCGAAAAAACACGCAAAAACAAGCTAGAAAAAGGTTTATTAGAAAGTTGCTACTACCTAAGGCTACAAAGAAGGCACCAGTAGATAGTTTGCCAGGAAAGGTGTGATCGAGTGCTGAGTGCGATGCGTCCAGCTTCGAAGGCCACAGCGGAAGCCAAGAGTGCCTGTGTGTGACTCAAAAAGACCCTGGCACCATTCAAACAAGCAAAATGTCTACTTACCTAATACATTAGCAAACTATAATTTCATAATATTTTACTTTGGTTTAAACAGTCAAGCAGGGAAATATCCAGGTCACTATAAGAGTATGTTGGAAAAGCTTTCGAAGTGACCAAGCGTCGTCCCAAACTTGTCTAATTCGGACGAAATGCGACCACTCAAAAACGTGTTCAGTTCGGCCTAACGGCTGTAGTATTAAGCAATTAAAATTTGGGAATCGATTAATGTTGCCGGTATTTGCAACCAGGAACAATGCGTTTACGGTACATGGCAAGGACAAGTTGAAAAATACATTCTGAGTGATCAAAATTTATCCTGGAAATGCCAAATTGGGACGTCCAAGGACACAAAAATTGGTCACTCAGTGTGATTCAACGGTCACTCCAACGGACACCAATGGACACTCGTGTTATGCAGGAGCCTTGTAGAATTCCGGTGACCCTCCTGTGAGGTATGCTAGTAAAATCTATCTAAATTGTTTCGTTTTCTTATACACCCAGGAGCTATAAGGCGTCTGTCTGTGTTCATTTGGTAGTGAATGTTTTCATAACTTCCCTGTCAGTACACATGCAGCTGGCTGGAAATGCATGTCATAGTTGCGTAATTTGGATAATAAAGCCACTTTCCTCTCACCGTGTACGATATTGCTTAACTGACGGTTGAACGCTTTACTTGCACAATCAGCCAACTGTTGAGAAAATGTAGAAAGGCTCATAAAATTAGATGTTATGCTGTAGTGACCTAGAGATTCATCCGTTTGATTGTGTATATTTTTCTAAACTTTGTAACATGATAATCTGATATGCATTATGGAATTAACTGATTCGCTCGTTTGTACGTTGCTCACGTTTTTGAGTCACCATACTCGCATCCGCTGCGCTACCAATCGGACGCGACCTGTGACTGGCGCCCGTTCTCGCACTCAACACACGTCCACATCTTCTCTAGCTCTCTTTTGACGCTTTAGGTTAAGCAGTAGCTAGTTTCCGTCCTTTTAATAAATCTAGTTTCCAGCTTATTTTTTGTGTTTTCTCTGTTGCCTTTAGTCGTTCTTTTATCTGTATTCTTGTCATCTAGCGCAAAACTAAAGCGCAATAATACGTTTGTTGCCGTAATGTACTATCTTGTCAGGTTAAATGTATCCAAAAAGTGTGATCTAGGTAGAGGAAAGAAAAACCTTATGCGAGCTTTTTAGGCAGCGTTTCGGTCGAGTTCTGGACGTGCGTAAACAAACAACATCGACGGTATGCAAAAGACAAACTGCCTAATTTTCTTGGGAACAAAATTAAATGATTATTTTTATAATATTTTATAGCTACTTTGGCCTTTTTTAAGGCGCGATCTTCTCACTTTTCATATTTATTATAATGCGAAAGTTTATCAATGCGAGCACTTTTAACTTGATGTACATATGCTGAAAATGTTGTTGCGTGATGCAGGGTTCCCTCCATTGATATATTTTCTACTCTTGTAAATTGGCCATCATGCAAGTCTATTTACTGATAAGCTTGAAGTAATGTTAGATGCCTCTTTTCCTTTAATTATGGGTGGCATATGCTTGCTTAATTTCTCCAGTGTCAAATAGCACGGGGCCTATTTTCTCATAACCTCTCTTGGTCTATACCTTTTCGAAAATATTTCACATGGTTAGAAGAGTATCTGCTAATGCTTTCAGACTTAATATAATTTGTTACAGTGGTTTCTTTTTAAAATCTTTAACTGGATGTATAGTACTTTACCGGTTGTGTTGTTTTCCTGTAGCTTACCATGGATTAAAAAACACTATGTGCAGTCGATTAAAGCTAACTTTATTTATAACGACTTACCCAGAGATTCCTTGGTCGACTTCATCATTCGTGTGCATTTCGGAGCTTATATGAACATCATCTTTTAAGATTTTAAGTGACCCTTCATCCGCTACATATTGATCTCACAAAATTTTCTTTCTTTTACACACGCTCAAAATTTAGTCTTTTATTCTCTTACGCTCAGTTGTATCGTATCACACGTTTAGCGTATTTCTCATGCTTTCTTCTCGACCCAAAGAAAGACATAAGTACTACGCATGCGGCTGCACAGTTAACCTTTTTACACCTTTGTCTGTTCAACACTGATTGATCTTGTATGTTTTTGCTTGTTGCATTTCTTCATTGTCTCCACAAGGGTAGTGTAAATACTGGGAATACACCCATTTCCATGAAAGATGCCTATTTTAACTTGACTTCTATTGAACCGTACGGAGAAGTCCCAAGTAGCTATAACGGTACTAAAATTTGGAAATGGCATTCATGGTATACGCTTAGGCTGCACTGGAACGAAAATGTTTTCTTAGTGGAAAATTCCTCCTAGCTGCATAAAATACCGTCACCTAGAGCACTCCACCTGTAATTCCAGTGGATGCATTTCTATCTTTCGTAGTATGCGGGTGGAAACGCATTCATGCCATCTTCGACTACGAATAGTGCTCGCCTTTTCCTGCGTTGCTGCAGATTCTAATAGGACCAAATAGCTACTCTGGTGTATCGCTGTCATCATTGCCATTGTTTAGACATTTTGTACAAGGGCTCTCTAAATATACTATCTTAGTACTTCCCATCCGTGGTTATTATGCACTAGCAGAGTTGAGGCGATTGGTTGCCTTAGCGTAGTGCTAAATGTGTAACCCTAGTTGTAGTTTTACAAATCGGATACCTATTATGTTTTCCTGCTAATAAGGACATCCTACTTTTTAAGTACATACGTTTCATGTTTGTTCATCCTCACCTGTATTTGGCCACTATTTTGCACTCGAGACTATGGAGTGGGAGTCAAATTTATTAGAAATTATGGTTGGTATCACAGCAAGTATACGCGCTCATTTCTGTTAAAGTAATCCGAAAGTATGGTTTGCAAAGGTGAAACCCCGGTTGTACATCAACGGCGTCAAATCGGAACAAATAAGATTCCGTTTCGTAACCTTGCCCTTACACCGTATGTCGTCGACATTTCGGACGATATATGTGAAATTCCGAAAGAAGAGAAATCGAACAAAGTTATAGTAACAGCAGTTTGAAACGATTTGCCATATAAGACTGCGAGCTCATTGTAAGACACCTAGAGGAGATGCAGCGCAAAAATTGGGGCCATCTAGCTCCTTAAACCAAACAAATCTTCGTCAACTCAACTGCACCAGATGTCAATCTCATCAATGAATTCTGGCATCGTCGGATGTCAAAGGATATCGTAACACCAGTTCCAAATTCACTTTTATCCCACCCGTTTTCAACCCTCTAATTCTTCTCCCTCCCACACTATGGTCCGATAGTCGTTTACCTCCTAGTTGCACCACGCATGCAAACGCGGAGCGTTGCACTTGCCCTGCAGACAAGACTGTCTAACCAAGCGGTCAAGTCTAGTTCATAGGCTACTATTTGGAGCACCCGATGCTCCCTCAGATTGGC